GTCTCGTTTTGCAGGAAAAGGGAGCTCTTGACGGGGATTTACATGATGGGCTTCAAGCGGCCGTCCAAAATCCAGGAGACGGCTCTGCCGATCATGCTGGCGTATCCGTGAGTCTCCGACGCCCCCGGCTCCCTCGCGGCGTGGCCGGAGGCGTGACGCTCCGCTAAGCAGCCTTTGCCTGATTGCCCAGAGCCAGTCAGGGACAGGGAAAACGGCAGCTTTTGTCTTGGCGATGCTGAGCCGAGTTAATGCCGCTGAGAAATACCCACAGGTAACGCAGGAAAGGGAAAGCTGAGGCCGGAGAGCTTTCCCCAAAGCCCCCGTGACACTGCTCCGGGTTTTGTCCCCGTCTCTGTATGATTTTACCCGCTGGAAAGGGGAGGAGAAACCCCCTCCCCGCAGCAGCAGGTAGGACAGAAACCGCGGCGCCCGCTCCGAGGAAGAGATTTTGATCTCTGAGCTGGGTTTTAGATATCCTGGAATTTCAAGGCTCGGGCGGTTTTTAATGGCGGCGTTTCTCGCCTGACATCTCGCCTTCTTTTCCCCCCGTCCAAGTGCCTCTGCTTGGCTCCCACCTATGAGCTGGCCCTGCAGATCGGGCACGTGATCGAGACTATCGGGCAGTTTTGCACCGGCATCAAGGTGACGTACACCATCCAGGGAAACCGAGGTGAGTCATGAGGGATCCGTGAATAAAACCGCGTCCGCGTTGCCCTCTCCTGCTAAGGAGTCTTTGTCACGCTTCCACACTCCCCCTTTTGGTTTCGCTTCCTCGTGCTCCTGGTTTTAATCCTGAACTCTACTTCGGGATGCTCCTCCGCGCCCCCAAAAAACGGAATCTGAGTTAATTGAGGGGGAAAATGCGCCGGAGCAGTGGAGCCGGGCTGCTAAGCCCCGTCTCGCAGCTGTGCCGGGCATCAGGCGGCAGGAGCAGATCATCATCGGGACACCAGGGTCGATGCTGGACTCGTGCTTCAGGCTGAGGTTGGTTGATTTGAATAAGATCACCTTGATCGTGCTGGACGAAGCCGACATGATGATCCACATGCAGTGCCTCTCCGACGAGAGCATTCACATTCAGAGGCGAGCGTCCCCGACGCCTTTCCCGGCTTAAATCACTTTGTTTTCAAATATTTTTTAAATTTATTTTATTTTTTAATTCTAACGGGCTGCCCTCCGGGTCCTGTTTTCCCTCCCTTCCAGGGCTTTACCCAAGGGCTGCCAGATGCTGCTCTTCTCGGCCACCTTCAAGGAGAGCGTGCGGACCTTTGCCACGCAGATCCTCTCCAACCCCATCGTCATCAAGCTGTGTGAGGAAGAGCTCACCCTCGGCAACATCTGCCAGTACTACCTCGTCTGCAGGAACTGGGAGGAGAAGTACCGCGCGCTCTGCAACATCCATGGCAGCGTCACCATCGGCCAAGCCATGATCTTCTGCCACGTAAGGAGGAAAAAGAAAGAAGGAAATATTTTTGGGTTTATGTTGACTGGGAGCGAGAGACCAAGAGCTCGGGCTGCCTCTGCTGCAGACGCGGCGCAGCGCGGACTGGCTGGTGTCGGAGATGAGCCAGGACGGGCACCAGGGGGCCACCCTCACCGCCGAGCTCACGGTAGCCGAACGCGCCAACATCATCCAGCGGTTCCGCGACAGCAAGGAGAAGGTCCTCATCACCACCAACGTCTGCGCCAGGGGTAAATCCCGAAAAATAATGCCGAGAAACGCGCTTCAGGCTCTCCAGGACGAGGCCGATCGCTTTCTCTCTTTGTTTTTTTGTCTTTTTTCTCTCTCCAGGGATCAACGTGGAGCAGGTCACCATCGTGGTGAACTTCAACCTCCCCAGCAACCAGGAGGGCGAGCCGGATTTCGAGACGTACCTCCACCGCATCGGGTGCGCGGGCTGCTTCGGCAAGAGGGGCGTCGCCTTCACCCTCGTGGAGGATCACGACGTGGAGCTCATACGGAAGATCGAGGAGCATTTCCGTGAGTACCCCGGTTGCAGCGGCTTGAGTGGGAATCGATTGTCACTCAATCCCTGTGGTTTTGAGGGAAAATTTGCGCTGCTTTTCCTCCGAGTTGGTTTTTACTACAAGGCCCGGTCTGGTTTTTTGCGACCGATTGGATTTTTTTCCCTCCCTGTAGAGACCAAGATCAAGCAGCTCGACCCGGACAACATGGATGAGCTGGAGACGTTCTAGAAGCGAGCGAGTCGGCGTTCGAAACGCAAGGGAAAAGAAAAGTTGCACGGGCGAAAAATCTCCCAGTTCGTTATCGCTTCCCGAAGCTGGTTTGGGTTTTTGTTGTTGTTGTGAGGTTTGAGGAGGAGGCGGAGAGGGGGGAAACCCTCAGCTCCCCCCTGGTTTTGGTTTCGTTTGTGGTTTGTGTCTCGTTGAGGTTTTTGGTGGCTCGAAGGTGGAAGGGAGAGCTCAGAAATGGAAAAGCTGGGAGCTCGCCCCTCAAAACTCCACTGGGCTGCAGGCGGCAGCAGAGAAAAGAAAAAGAAAAAACCACAGGGAGAAAGGAGCAAGTTATTAACAAGAAGGAACGCGGTGTCAGTAGGTGGCAGCACCAATCCATTGCTGGCCTCCTGAATCCTGTCAGGCCCCGCAAGGGGAGAGTTTTGGGGGTTCTTTTGGCCCCCCCCGGCGGGTTTGCCCCCGTCCTCCGAGCCAATCTCCTAATAAACTGAAATTATTCCTTGTTACAAGAGTGGTGTCGCACCTCCTTTCTGCCAGATCCCTTGAAGCTCATCTCTTTAACTCGCGGGAGGATTTTTTTAATTCGAGCGATTAATTCTTGTTAAATCCGCACCCCCTGAATCCTCTCCCTGCCCCCCCTTCCTCCCCGTCTTCTACCCCAGGATTGCCTTACGGCGCCGCCGTCCCCCCCATAAATGTTTGATGGGCCGGCGAGCGGGAGATGAAATATCAAGCCTGGGCTTCCCCTGGGTTTTTGAGTGGGGCGGGGGGTGAATTTTCCCCTCTTTTAGCCAAAAAAAAAAAGAATAAAATTGGAGTTGGGGGAGTGATGGGGGGGATAAATATCCTTGAGGAGGGAGGGGAGGGAGAAGATGAGAAGCCGCCATCCCTGCAGTGAGCGTGCCTGGCCTCAGCCCCGAGATTGCAGAGGTTGAGGGGGACGCCGGCGTTGGGTTTCCCACTCCCCTCCTGGGTTTATAAATAATTAACGGTTAATCAGGGCTGGAGCTTAATTACCCGAGCGG